GCTGTGGCGGACACGGCAATGGCTGTAATTATTGTTGCAGTAATGCTAAAATCTCTCTTTGGTCTAAATAAAGTCATGGTGGAGGGGGCTTCCACGGGCCACGGGACTTATCTAGGCATTCGGGCAACCATTACAAAATGATAAACAGAAGTATTCCAACACATATATAAAAACAACTATTATTACTGCATTTTAAAAGGCTACTATTATAATTACCATTAAACAAAACAAAAGGAGGCCATACACAAACCGGCATAGGCCCAAAGGAAACATTATGCCTTGGACATATTAGTCACTAATTAAAAACATAATACCTCTGATAAATGTAAATCCAAGGAATCTGGTACTGGGGCAATCTCTCCATCCTATGGCAAATAGGGTAACTGCAAGGAAACATCTCTAGAAAAAACCTAGGAAAAACTTGTGCAGAATGCATCAATGGTAAAGGTTTAAGAAAAAACAGACAAAATATCCCACCGCAATTCATTAAACAAAAAGGGAGAATTGCCTCTTCAAATGCCCAGGCTGACCACACTTAAAACAGTTTCCATTCCTTAAGCTACTTCTGTCTCACGTCATTTGCATAACTGTAGCAGCCAAACCAGCATTAGAGAGAGGTCCCCCTAACTCCCTACAGATCTTCAACCATACCTCTAGCCCCTTGTTCTTATATGGGTTGATGACCTGGCTACACTCCATGATACATTGCTCAAAAATCAACTGTTTCAGTAAAGGCATGGCTGTATCAGGGTCCCCAAAAATTCTTCCCCCAACTTCTACCATTCTAGCCACAAAGTCAGCAAATGATTCCACTGACCCTTAGATAATGTTAGTTAGGTATCCTTGCACTTCTCCTCGATTTGGTAGAGATTTCCAAGCTCTAGTTCCCATTATGTTAATTTGCTCATAAACTTACAGAGGATAACCAGTCTGTTGATTGGCAAACCTGCCTTGCCCCAGCAACATATCCTGACTCCATGCTGGCTAGCCATTAGCAGCATTTATGGCTGCCTGTTCTGCTGAGAATTGAATAAAATAGGCCTTCCAATCTAAATACTGTTGGGAAGAAAGGCAAGCTCTAGCTAAATTCTGCCAATTGCTGGGGGTCATACAGTATCTGTGAAGGGTCTCCAGCTGTGATATTACAAAGGCAGCATTAACGTAGGCTCCTAGGCTCGAGCCCCTTCAGCTAGCCTTTGGATAACCTTCCAATCAAAGGGCTCATGATAGTGATTGCCTTGAGCATCCTGAAATACTGGAAAACACTGAGTTCGTAACGCCCTCCAGACCTCTGGGCACAGGCTTTGTCCTGAAGCTCCACTTGGAGCATATGGAGGTGGCTGGCGCCTTAGGTTCCACTTCTAGTTTCGTTTTTTCTAAACCCTGAGCCAGCTCTTCAAGCTCTTCTTCAGAAACTTCTTCCTCATCTGAGCTTTCTCCACTTTCCAACTTTTGAGACTGCTCCTCTCTCAGCTGTTCTAGTGCCTCACAGCCCCGTTCCAGCTCCACTGCACATCTCCCCTCCTTTTCTTTTATACAATACCTCACCAATTTCCACACGGTTAAAACTCCCGAGGGTAACAATCCCTGCTCCTCAGCAAATCTTAAGTCTTATCCAAGCTTTTCCCAGCTGGGTATAGTGTGTGCTTGGTGTAACTTGTCCCACTACCGAGAACTTGCCTTTGTCCCTCTAACTTGGGAACTTACCAGCTAGCTGCCCTGACTGCAATGAGTTCTGAACTTCCCAGTACAGGCCACCACAGAAAGGAGCGACACCACACAGAGTTCTTCTCAAAGCAGTTTATTCAGGAACCTTAACAATGTCCAAAAGCCCCCGAGACCTCTCCCTGTCTGCCCTTAAATCCCTGTGCCTGCACCACTCAGATCCTGCCACGCAGGTGCTTTCAATTGGTCCAAGGTGTTGCTCATTAGATGGCCTGATAATGCATAGCAGTGAATCTGCGCAGTATAGTCTGCGGACGTGGCTCTTCAGGGGTGTGTAAGGAAGTCAGGTGCTAGTCATAAGACTTGTAAGGAAGTCAGGT